GGAGGCCACGTGACGCTTGCCTATTGGTCCGGCGCGGCGGGGCGTCCGGCCGGAACGGACATGTCCGGTGCGCGCGAGGGGATTTTTAGGGTTTCGGAGGTAGGAGGAGATCCGAAAATCAGGAGGCCTTTAAATAGGCATAGAGGGAGCTAGGAGAGTCCAAATGAGGTGCGGTTTTCGGCCACGCGATCGTGATCGAACGCTCTAGATGATGAAGCAGAGTTAGGTGGGTTTTGGGCCAAATTGGAGGGGTGTTGGGCTGCAACACACACGAGGCCTTTTCGGTCCCTCGGTTAACCGTTGGAGTATCAAACGAAGTCCAAATGGCACGAAACTTGACAGGCGGTCTACCGGTAGTAAACCAAGGCCGCTTGGCAAGTCTCGGTCCAATCCGGAAATGTTTAATCCCCACACACGAAAGAAAGCTAGAAATGACCACCGGAGGAGAACGAAGCGCCGGAATGCAAAACGGACAACGGGGAAAATGCTCGAACGCATGAGACGAACACGTATGCAAATGCAAAGCACATGATGACATGATATGAGATGCATGACAACGACAACAACACACGGAGACAAAACCGAACCCGAGGAAATAAATATAACTTAACACTGGAAACGGCAAGAGTTGGAGTACAAATAGGGAAAGTTACATCCGGGGTGTTACAGCTTTTCACTAGGGTCCGAGTGCCATGATTTCAGATCTGAATCTATTATGTTTTCATGAATATATGTGAGTTCTTGATCCTATCTTGCAAGTCTATAGTCACCTATTATGTGTTATGATCCGTTAACCCCGAAGTGACAATAACTGGGATACTTACCGGTGATGACCGTAGTTTGAGGAGTTCATGTATTCACTAAGTGTTAATGCTTTGGTCCGGTACTCTATTAAAAGGAGGCCTTAATATCCCTTAGTTTTCGATAGGACCCCGCTGCCACGGGAGGGTAGGACAAAAGATGTCATGCAAGTTCTTTTCCATAAGCATGTATGACTATATTCGGAATACATGCCTACATTACATTGATGAACTGGAGCTAGTTCTGTGTCACCCTATGTTATAACTATTGCATGAGGAATCGCATCCGACATAATTATGCATCACTGATCCATTGCCTACGAGCTTTTCACATATTGATCTTTGCTTAGTTACTTTTCCGTTGCCACTGTTACGCTTGCTATAAAACTGCTACTGTTACCTTTGCCACCGTTACCACTACTATCATATTACTTTTCTACTGAATACTTTGTTGCAGATATTAAGTCTTTCAGGTGCGGTTGAATTGACAACTCAACTGTTAATACTTGAGAATATTCTTTGGCTCTCCTTGTGTCGAATCAATAAATTTGGGTTGAATACTCTATCCTCAAAAACTGTTGCGATCCCCTATACTTGTGGGTTATCATGCAACACCGGATATGGACATCGGACCGCAGAGCTAGGCACGGTTTGCAGGAGGCCCCATCGGCGTGCTATACTTGCCTCCAGGATGAGGACAACGCAGAGCACATCCACATTCAATGTGGTTACGCAAGAGACATTTGGCATCGATGCTTAACGGATCTCAACATTACCATGCGACGACCCAATAGGGATGACACTTTACTTGATTGGTGGCTCTAGGCTAGGGAGAGTTTTCACGGCGCAAACAAGAGAGGGTTCGACACTTTAGTCACGGCAGTTACTTGGGAACTCTGGAAACAAAGGAATGCTAGAGTGTTCAACCGTGCAAATCAAGTTATGACGGTGGCACAACTGCACAGGCACATCTTCGATGAGATCAAGGCGTGGAAAGAAGTTGGTTTGGGCGTTGGAGTACTCCACAGATTTGTGAGAGAGTAGGCTTAGGATATAGGTGTTGGTGTGGGTTGTATCCTTCTGGGGATGTTCGCATCCTACGCAAGTTCTTATAAATGTTTTTCTGCCTTCTATAAAAGTAAGATATGTCATTGACATACTCTAAAGAAAAGACCCCAATATCCTGGAGGAGCCTCCCTCCAACGAATTCATTCGCTATGATGAGGTCCTCCAGCGGACGTTTCCCTCGTTCCCTAGCGGGGAGGGCCATAGCGATCCTCCATTTGGCCCAAAGGCATATTAAATATTTTTTAATAGAATGTCATGAACAAAATCAGAAAAATGGAAAAATGCGAGAAAAGTTGGCATGTTCCTACTCATCACCCAAAATCTCATGTGCAAAAGAAAAGGTGAGAGTGAAAAAATGGCACTTATCAATATTAAAAATGCCATCCTCTCAATAATAAAAATACAATCCTATTATAAATTAAAAAAAACCATGGTCTTATTAATAAAATTGTCGCACCATTAAAAAGAAAAATGGCATCCTCTCATTATTAAAAATGCCACCAGCTTAATGATAAAAAAATTCGTCATCACATTAATAAAAACATCCTATTATTAATAAAATGTGATGCTCTTATTAATAAAATTGTCATGTCATTAAAAATAAAAATGCCATCCTCTCAATTAAAAAAAATGCATCCTCTTATAATAAAAATGCCATCCTATTAATAATAAAACTGCCATGTAAGAAACTAAAATAAAAAATAAGGATGGTCGAATGATTACACAAAAAATGCCAAGTTATATATAAATATTAGTTTCCTGCAAAAAATAATATTATAAATACCAGTTTTAACACGAATACTACCCCCCCCCCTCCAACCCAGTGGAAAAAAGCCCCACGCTCTCACAAGAGGTCACAGTTCAACATCTCGGTCACACAATTTTTGGATAAAATGAGAGTTTGCCAAGAATCGGTGGACATCGAACGGCTCTAACCATCCGACGTGGTAATACCCCAGCATCAAGATTCATGCAACGGTGGGGAGGGCGTTCGCCAGGGTTGCCTTCTGGGGGAACATTCGCCAGTTACTATTTTCTTTCAATTGAGAAGGGGAGATGATTTGATCCTAAGAGCATCTACAACCACCCCCCGCCCCAATACATCTGTCCGGACAGCCGGGTCACTGACCTGTGACAAAATCCCCATCCAGACGGGTGTCTCTGACCAGCCCTACATATCGGATCTAACCAACACCCCTCATATCTAGCACAAATCTGGGGTGGGCGTGAGGAGGCCCGGATGTACCCGAGCGCGTCCCCCATATTAGATATGGTTCACACTGGCCCATCCTGACCCCATACATATTCGTTACCATCTGCATCCCGCACAAAACCCTAGGCACTCCACTCCACCCCCAAGCCCCTTTCGATGATCTCTGACCTTCTCCGGCATGGCCGGCAACGAATTTGACCCCGAGCTCTCCTGATTTGTGGAATGGGAGCTCTTCCCATGTACGCCTGAGGAGGGGATGGCCATCCGTGTTGCTCTCCGCCGCTCTCGGGAGGAGTCCGCCCGACAGCGGTTGGACTCGATCCGGCGGGAATCCATTGCATCCGCACAAATGGCTACAAGATCCATTGGGCATGATGGTTGGGGGCGCTTGAGCGATGCATCGCCGAAGGCGGTGCATCCTTCTGGCGCTCCAACACAGTAGCGGCGGCGCAACCCCTTCGGCGGCGCGTCTTCCTCGTCGCGTGGGGCTCAGAGTCAGAGGCAAACACCGACACTACTTATGGCTCGTCCGCTAATATGGTGCGGTGTGCCCGCCATGCGGGGCACAAGACGCGGGAGGCCGCGGAGGTGTAGTCGCACGCCGCATCAGAGCCAATATGTGTGACCGGCAGCCCTTGGGGCCGCAAACCGTGTCGTGGTGCAGGTGTCGTGTTCCGAGCACGAGGGGTCTATTGTGGACCTAACATCAACCGGCGATGTCCAGGCCACGGGCTCCTACGAGGAAGAGTAGGGCTTTGGAGACGGTGGTGCCTCGAGTCCCGTGAGTTGGTCTGTGTCTCATGTCCTACTCTTCCTCGCCAGCGACCACACGTTCACTCTGAGGGCTCAGCCGGACACCGGACATGGAGGTGAATGAGCGCCGGTGAAGATTTAGACTGGATTTTACGTTGCATATGATTTTATGAATTTGAGGATTTGGTAATGAGGTACTTGATTGTAGAAGAGAACGTTTAAGATGTGAACGGTCACTGTACACGGACGTTTACGGGACCGGATTAGCTACATGTGCTGGGAGCAGGTGAATGTTTGAAACCGACCCTTTTGCGCACGGGGGAGGGACCAAACCTGGACGATCCTTTGAGCGTGCGCTTTGGCTTGGGTCTTTTCGGGATCTGCTACGCCTTCGAGGTAGTGCACGGTCAAAAAGCGCACAGCACAGGGCATGGGTCAGGATCGCAATGCCATCCATCCACGGTCGAGATCGCAGCTCCCACGTCTAGGCGACGCGCTGGTGATGACTCCTGTCCTCGAGTACGTGTGTTCTTGGCACTATGATGGCGATGCTTCTTTGCCTGCAATGCAAGTAAACCTTGTACTGTGCGATGCACGTGAACAACGTTGTCACCTACGTCCCGGCCGGCCCGCCCTGTACACACCCCTCTCCCAACTCCCGGTACAGTAAAGGCCTGTTCGGCATCCCTCCGACTCCACGCTCTCGCTCCTGGAGCTGGCAGAGCTGAAGGTAAAAAGTACGGAGTGGGGGGACAGGTGCTCCGCAGATCCTTGAATTTTAGTAAGTACTCCTTACTTGCTAGCATTGGCAGAAATGAGGAGAATCAAGTCACCTAGTAAGAAAACATTGCACGAGTAATAAGAAGTCGAGTCATGTACTCCAGTATATGTTGTTACATTCTACACTCTGTTGGTTACATCCTAAACTCTACTAGTTACATAATGGGAGCATCGATCAAAGTTGCGCCCAAAAAATTGAAATAAATCCTATGCTCTGCTAACCAATGAGATGACTATCCGGTATCGGCACCGGCACCGGCACCAGTGTGGTTCATCGATCTGATTCGTGCGCTCGGGATTCTGAATTGAAGCTCCCATGGATCGGACGTGCTTCTGTCTTCCCTGTGCCATCACAAACTTTTGAGTTGAGCAATCCTTTTCGGTTCCTAATCAGATGCTTCATGCATATACTCAGACATAGATTCCTCCTGCAAAAACAAAGGAGCACACATAATTTGATTGATAGCAAGTTATCCAAGTTAGAGGGGCCATTACATCAGAGAATCAACTCGTAGCGTGGAACTTCAATGTGTTCACTCAATGAATCACTGGATTCCAAGGACTTATAAGGCATGTTCTGAAAGCGGCTAGGGTACAATTGGACCCCTTGTAGAGAGGTATACTGTCTGCCCTCCACGACAGTTTGGTCTGAGAAAAAGAAATCCAACCAACATGCACAGAAGTTCAGCTTATCTATACATAATGAGCTTTATTTAAGCTTTAATAGACTCAAGCATTTTTTATACCAGTTTCTCAACCACCTACATTGACACTGGAACTATTCCGTACTCGGTGACTCAATGTTGCCTGATTTCAGAAATAGGAATCGCACATCACACAGCTTTTACCATACCCATGTTATTTAGGAACTACTCCCCCCGTTCCATAATCCTTGTCGTGGTTTTAGTTCGAGGGAGTGGTAGACAATCGAGCCTTTAACTCTTCACCTAAAAGCATCGTGTTCTATATCGCATTTGCATTAGACAATCGAGTCTTTAACTCTAGACAAGAATTTTCTCAATATAACTCTGACGTTAGATTTATAGTACTAAAAATCTGACGTCCTCAAGTACGTCGGATCCCGATCGAACACATGGCAATCAATCGTTGCACCATGGCAATTTTTCTGCGGCTTTTTATGCTACACATGGCAATTTGCACTGTAGAACAATGGCAAATCTCCTTATACTAAAGCATGGCAATTTTATCTGTTTTCGCATGGCAAATCTGATCGTCAGATTTTTAGCGCTAAAAATCTGGTGTCGGGCTTTTAACATTTCCTATAATTTTTGGCCAACTTTCAACATTGATCCAGTTTGGTTATTAATATAAAAAAAGGTCAACTCAACATATTTGGTTTTGTTAATAGTTTTAGGGAGGTAATGCTGTCGCGGCACTTACATCTTTTTCTTGCTTTTCTTTGACGACGATGCACTTGGAGGCACCGATGCTTTCGCTCTTCAAGAAGTTTCGAGTATTCAACAGTGGCTTGTTAAGGCCATCCGTCACCGATGTGTGACCTGGTAGCTCATCTACATGCAATTTTATACAGTAGTCTGCATTTGGCTTTTCAGGCTCATCACTGCTGCCGATAACTCTTTCCCTGAGATAAGATGGAGGATATATTAGTTCAAGAGACATGCACATATTTTTACTGAAGAGAAGCATTATAGTTTACTAAGCTGAAGGTATTGCCTTGGTAAGGAAGCATGCTGCCGCAGCTGCGGGCTAGTCTTTTCACCCTTAGCACCGATTTCTTCAAGATGAACAAATTGGCTCTTGAAACGATCCACCCCACTGGCAATAATATATCAGTTAGTATACTGGCAATGTCTTAACCAATCATAACTGTGGTTAAAGAAATGGTGTTTCTTTAGTATGACATATTTGAATGAGGTTTACAATAGCATGAATTCTTATTTAGGGAAATTAAAAGCATATTTTTACAATGAAAAGATTGTACATCAAAATCCAAAGGGACAATTGTTTAACACAAGAAAAACGTCATTAGCGCATCGCAACTGATTATGTTAAACAGCTTCCACATATGCAGTTGCTTGATAATGATATTCAATGATTATAAAAATAATATTTTAAGCTACACATTGCTCGTTACATTCATAGGATCATAATGTACACTGGTATGCTTTTCTGTCTCACCTCCACTCAAGTTGTACCATGCAAAAGTTCAACGAATAACACCTACTGAAACATATGCCTATCATTGTCAAAAGCAAACTTTACTAACTGAACAAAACATTACATAGATAACACATGTATATTATTCTTCTTGTAACAAGAAATGGTGGATTAAAGCATTTTTTCCAAACTCACCTTGGGTAAAGAAAGTTTGCCTGATCTCCACCACGAAGATAGTCATGCAACATCTGAGGATGGTACTCTAAAATCTAGAGATACTTCATGCATTAGTAAAGACTACTACCACAATGCCCACCGTACAATTGACTAACATTACCTCTCTGTAAATTAATTCACGTAAATCCTCTCTGGCCAGCTTCCTTCTCTCAAACTCAAACTCAAGTTTCGAGATGGGTTGCGCTGTGGGTTCGAGTTCAGAATTTGCCAATCCAGTAAAGTATGGGTCTGCCAAGGCCTTGAATTACATTGATATCATATCAGTATCGAGAATAACAAAAGAAACAAGCTTTTTGAGCTAAGATTCTTGTTGTTTATATTTCCTACCTCTGCAGCAGTTGGCCGATCTGCGGGGTCAAAAGCAAGAAGACGCTCAAGCAAATGGAGTGCCATGGGGTCTACACCAGGAAACTTCTGAGAAAAAGGTATTGGATGCTTTTTTTTCATGTTTCCCAAATATCGTCGAGCTTTTTCGTTTCGAACCTATATGCAGTACAAATAGGCAACAGATGCAGAGTTTAAGAATCATTTCTGAACGTGATTTATCACCTAAAAAAATACTTAGCAGAACAAACAAGAGTGCGGCTATTTGGCTCCCGGGCTCATCTACTCCCATGGTGAACAGTAAATTAAAAAAAATACTAGAAAATTTTCAAAAAAATTCCGATTTTTTTGGAATGGAAGATGCTTAGGTGCGTGAGGTTCACTCCAAAGTTCAACTCATTTGGACATCTGAGTATCTCTTGGCAAAAAAAAAACAAATTTGGGGTCTGTGAAACAGAGTACTGTTCATGTACTGTTTTGACCCAATTTGTCTTTTTTGCTGAGAGCTACTCATATGTCCAAATGACCTGAAATTTGGAGTGGAGCTCACGCACCAAATCATCTTCCATGCAAAAAATATTTTAGTATTTGTTTTGAATTTTCTCTTAACCGGGTGCAGATGAGCCCGGGCTCAGAAATGGATATTTTTCGAGAAAACGCAAAAGCTTTGCGTTTCTTTTCATTGAAAAGGAGAGATTCAGAAATGGATATTCGAACAAATATAATTTACTATCTGTGTTGTTACTTTGTTTTAATATATTTGGAAAAAATATCAAAGTAAAGATGATCACAAAAATCATAGTACAATAACCAAAAGACTGAAGCATTAACCAAAACCTAGGCCACAAATCTTCCTTTGGCAGTTGACCCATGGCTGCTTGCCTTTGAGTGACCAGGTTCTCAAGCGCCACGGCCTGTCCAATGGGACCTGTGCACTCTAGGGAATTTGAAGACGCAAACTGGAACCTTAGGTGCTTCATGCAAGCTTCTCAATCATATCTAGGGGGTTTCAAGTTGCATTTCTAGGGACATTTGGGTCGCCTTTGCAGCTCAGAATTGTGCACTCTAGGACACACGCAACAAACTCAAAATGGAGTGGGTTATCCCCAAACATCCATCTTTCCCTTCGAAAAGGAGGTTAAACCCCCGGAATCTGCAACCTATGATGCACAACCATCTTAATTAAAGTACCGTGACCAACATCCAAAAAAGTTTAACAAGTGAAAGCAAGGCCCAATCACAACTGACCAATAACAGGATTACATCACTCAGACACATAACCTATTACTGTACCGCCATGCAAAACTGCTTGAATGAATCCCGTGTTATCATCTCCCAATGGTTGCCCCCAAAGGCCATAGCTGCACCCAAACATCCATCTAATTGTTTGTTCAAAATGATCATTTTTTGTTTGCAGCTCGTGATGCCATCATCAAAGGAGGACATGGAGGAAACTTCACGTGTCGCCCTTTTTGCTATCTCGGGAGTGGCTGGGGTGTTTTGTGTGCGAGTGTTTGTGTTTGTGTTGTAATTGTGCTATGCAACTTCTTTAAGGAATCATGAGTATTTGTGGAACTTCTGTACTCATAGCCATTTGTGGCTGTATCTATAAAGGAGGGTGAAAGCCTTTTGTCCAGAAAAAATGTTTACATCCACAGCTATTTCCATAAGAATAATGTTCAAAAGATAACTCCCTTATCCTTAGATAGAGCAAGCTCATTGCTTGTCATGAATCATTGTTAAATATCAATTGGCGTTCATATTTTTTTAGCACAATGGTGACCAGATATCGTGTTGGCCCTTTCCAGAAATTGGATTACAAACTACACAGATCAAGCAAATATATGGTCAATGTGAGTGCGGGGCTTTCTGAGACAACATGCCTATTCAGGTAGTGAATTATTTGACCAAAACATCACTCTGAATGCCTTCCATGCAAAAAAAAGGTTTACAACCACAGTTATTTTCTGTAAGAATAATGTTCAAAAGATAACTCCCTCAGCCATAGATGGGGCAAGTTTAGTTGTTTGTAAAGCATCATTGTTAGATATCAATTATCGTCCATATTTTTTTCGATACCTCGTTTGCCCTTTCCAGAATTAGGGATTACAAGGTATACAAATCAAGCAAATATATGATCACTGGGAGTGTGGGACTGTCTTAAGACCAGATGCCTGTCCAGGTAGTGAATTATTCAACCAAAACATCACTCTGAAGTTTCTTATGATAAGCACAAATTAAACAAAGCATGAATTTTTACCCTTTTGCTGTCGGGTAGTTATTTAAAATGCAGATGCAGAGCCACCGGCTGTTGAAATATGGGGTGGGCTTTAGGCCCATCTAACAATTTCAGAAAATCTCTAAGGGCCCAAGTGGATTATATGGCACTAGGTGTAGTGGGAAGTTTAGTCCCACCCCGCTAGTGGAGAAGGAGTTGGACCTCTTTATAAGGGATTCTCTTCCACATGCTATTGGAGCTTGAGAATAGAAGAGGCCCTCGCGCACTCCTTCGCCGCCGCCCGCCTCGCCTCAACTCTCCACGCGGACGCCACGCGGCTGCGCCTATATATGTGTGAGGCGTCTCCCAACCAGCCGTCACGTGAAACAGATCGCATCTCTGCCTCCACGCCCACTGTCGTTCCTTGGCTGCTGCCGCCGGCGACTCCACCCCGTCTGCCGCGTACACGGTCGACGGGAGAGCAGGTCTCCGAAACTCCGCCTCTCTGGATCCTGTACGGGAGAGGGGCGATTAGGTTTTTGGGAAGCGACTGCTCGCCTCTGTTCGTCTACTTCCTCTACGTTCGTGTCGCCCTCGTCATCACCATGTCCACCGACGCTGAACGTGCCGCCGCCGAGAAGATCGAAGCCGACAAGAAGGCCGCCGAGGACGCCGCTGCTGCCACACCGCCGCCGCCGCGGCTTCCTGGCCTACTGGAGGGTATAACTCGTTTATCCCGCTCCTATTGTTTTCTGTTTTAGCCATGCTAGCATTATATATAGATCTGTCTGCAATTAGCGTAGTATGAGCTTGCACGATTGAATAGTATGTGGTTATTTCTGTCAATGCCATGCTAGTGATTCATTTTTGGATTAAATTAATCGGAAAATTGCCTATTTATTGAACAATCCAAAAACCTAATGTGTGTAGGAATTTTTCGGCAAGTGGCTTTGCCGCTGCACTGAAACCGGATAAGTTTACCGGCACGTACTTTAAGCGTTGGCAGACTAAGACCACTTTATGGCTCACGGCTAAGAACGTGTTCTGGGTCACCGGTGCCTCTTCCACAGGAACGATTGCTCCTGAACAGGAGAAGGCGTTCAGGGAGGCCACCGTCGTATTTCTCGGAGCAGTTCTTAGCGTGATCGGTGATAAGTTGGTTGACGCATATTTGCATGTGCATGTTGCCAAGGACTTGTGGGAGGCGCTCAAATCTAAATTCGGGGCCACCGATGTTGGGAGCGAGATGTATATTATACAGCAGTTCCATGATTACAAGATCGTTGAGAACTGTCCTGTATTGGAGCAGGCTCATGAGATAATATGCATCGTTAAGGAGCTTGAGCTTCTTAAGTGCGATTTACCGGGCAAATTTGTCGCGGGATGTATAATCGCCAAGCTCCCTAATTCGTGGAGAAACTTTGCTACCACTCTGAAACATCAGAGGCGTGAATTCTCGGTAGAGGATGTCATCGGCCATCTGAATGTTGAGCAAAATTCAAGGGCAAAGGACTCGCACGGAAAAGGGACCGAAGGAACTTCTGTCGCCAACATGGTGCACCAGAGGAACTTCAATTCCCACAAGCCCAAGGGAAAGAACGGTGTCCAACAGAATACCGACTTTAAGAAGAAGGGTAAGACGACCTTCAAGAAGAACAAGAAGGATGAGGGTTGTTTCACTTGTGGTTCGGTTGAACATTAGGCCAACAAGTGCCCAAACAAGTATAAGAAGCCAGGGCAGAACTCCAAGTCTGTCAACATGATTGTGGGCAACAATGAGAATGGTGCATCTGGGTATGGTAATTTATTTACTGTTTTTTCAGTGTTCAGTCCATCGATTGGTGGGTGGATACAGGTGCAGGTGTTCATGTGTGTGCTGACATTTCATTATTTTCTTCTTACCGGGTCACAGGCCACGGGTCTGTATTGATGGGGAATGGCGCGAGTGCTTCTGTTCATGGTGTTGGCACGGTCGATCTGAAGTTTACTTCAGGAAGGATCGTGCAGCTGAAGAACGTGCAACATGTCCCCGCCATCAAGAAGAACCTCGTTAGTGGCTCCCTTCTATGTAGAGAAGGGTTTAAATTGGTCTTCGAGTCTAATAAATTAGTTGTTACAAAATATGGACTCTTTATTGGAAAAGGTTATGAGAGCAGAGGGATGTTCCGTCTTTTCCTCGCAGATTTTTGTAATAAAGTCGTGAACCATATTCATTGAGTGTTAATGAATCTAAAGTTTGGCATTCACGTCTTTGTCACATTAGTTTCGGTGTTATGACGCGGCTAGCTAAGTTGAATTTAATCCCAAGTTTCATTTTAGCCAAAGGTTCTAAGTGTCTTTCATGTGTGCAAGCTAAGCAACCTTGCAAGCCTCACAAAGCTGCGAAGGAGAGACACTTGGCACCATTAGAACTCATACATTCTGATCTTTGTGAGATGAATGGTGTGTTGACTAAAGGTGGAAAGAAATACTTCATGACATTGATAGATGATTCCACTAGATATTGCTATGTGTATCTGTTAAATACTAAAGATGAGGCTCTACACTCCTATAAAATCTATAAGGCAGAAGTTGAGAATAAACTTGAAAAGAAAATTAAACGAGTCCGGTCAGATCCTGGTGGAGAGTACTTCTCGAGTAAGTTTGATTCTTTTTGTGCGGAACATGACATTATTCATGAGAGGACGCCTCCCTATTCACCCAGTCAAACGGGGGTTGCCGAGCGGAAAAACCGTACTATAACTGATTTGGTTAACGCCATGTTAGATACATCGGGTTTATCCAAGGCATGGTGGGGGGAGGCTATATTGACGGCATGTCATGTCCTGAATAAAGTTCCAACAAAGGATAATGAGATCACTCCCTATGAGAAATGGGCGAAGAGAAGGACAACACTCTTGTACTTGCGTACTTGGGGCTGTTTGGCGAAAGTCAATGTGCCGATCCCCAAAAAGCATAAGCTTGGAACAAAGGCTATGGATTGCGTTAATTTGGGCTACACTAAGAATAGCGCTGGCTATAGATTTCTAGTAGTGAAATCTGAGGTACGTGACCAAAAGGTCAGTACAATTATGGAGTCTAAGGTGCTACATTCTTCGAGGATATTTTTCCTATGAGATATGCAAAGCACTACTAGACAGGAATCTGAGGAGACTCCTGAGCCTGCCATTCCTATGGAATATTATGAACAAACACATGATGATAATCCTGAGGATGACGAGGAAACCCTTGGTAGGGATAAGAGACAAAGGACTGCAAAGACCTTTGGTGATGATTTCTTTGTGTACCTCGTGGATGATACTCCCACTTCTATTTCAGAAGCGTATGCCTCTCTAGAAGCGGACTACTAGAAGAATGCGGTCCGTAGCGAGATGGATTCCATCATGGCTAACGGGACATGGGAGATTACTGAACGTCCCTATGGTTGCAAACCATTGGGATGTAAGTGGGTGTTCAAAAAGAAGCTTAGGCCCGATGATACAATTGAAAAGTACAAGGCTAGGCTTGTGGCCAAGGGCTATGACTAGAAAGAAGAGGAAGATTTCTTTGATACTTATTCACCTGTGGCCAGACTGACCACCATTCGAGTACTACTCTCGTTGGCGGCCTCGCATGGTCTTCTCGTCCACCAGATGGATGTTAAGACGACTTTCCTGAATGGAGAGCTAGACGAGGAAATCTACATGCAACAGCCAAATGGCTTTGTGATAGATGGTCAGGAAGGAAAAGTGTGTAGGTTGCTGAAATCTTTATATGGCCTGAAACAAGCACCTAAGCAGTGGCATGACAAGTTTAATACAATACTGACATCTGTTGGCTTTATTGTGAATGAAGCTGACAAATGTGTATACTATAGCCATGGTGGGGGCGAAGGAGTTATACTGTGCTTGTATGTTGATGACATACTGATATTCGGAACCAACCTCAAAGTCATTGAGGAGGTCAAGTCGTTTCTATCTCAGAACTTTGAGATGAAAGACCTTGGTGTGGCTGATGTTATCTTGAACATCAAGCTACTCAGAGATATAATGAGGGTGGGATTACACTTCTGCAATCCCATTGTGTTGAGAAGGTGTTGAGCCGTTTTGGATATTCGGACTGCAAACCATCTCAAACACCATATGATCCTAGTGTGTTGATTCAAAAGTTCGAAGGCACGGCTAAAGGTCAATTGAGATACTCTTAAATCATTGGTTCACTCATGTACCTAGCGAGCGCAACGAGGCCTGACATCGCATTTGCTGTGAGCAAACTGAGCCGATTTGTTTCCAAAACAGGTGATGTACATTGGCATGCTGTTGAAAGAGTTATGCGCTATCTGAAAGGTACTATGAACTATGGACTTCACTATACCGGATACCCGTCGGTACTTGAAGGGTATAGTGATGTGAATTGGATCTCTGATGCTGATGAGATGAAGGCCGCAACCGGGTATATGTTTACTCTTGGAGGTGGCGTTGTTTCCTGGAAGTCTTGCAAGCAAACGATTTTAACAAGATCGACAATGGAAGCAGAATTAACAGCGTTAGACACGTCTGGTGTCGAAGCAGGATCGCTTCGAGATCTTTTGATGGACTTGCCATTGGTTGAGAAGCCGGTTCCGGCTATCCTTATGAACTGTGACAATCAGACTGTTATCACCAAGGTGAACAGTTCAAAGGACAACATGAAGTCCAACAAACATATAAAAATGAGATTAAAAGCTGTCAAAAAATTAAGAAACTCCAGAGTGATAGCGTTGGATTATATCCAAACGGCTAAGAATCTGGCAGATCCCTTTACAAAAGGACTATCACGTGTTGTGATAGATAATGCATCGAGGGAGATGGGTATGAGACCCACGTGAGTTGCCATGGTGGTAACCCAACCTATGTGATCGGAGATCCCGTGAAGTAGGACCTGAGAAAACAAGCCAATGGTAAACTGAGGAGAGTAACTTTACTAACCCACTCCATTGGAGATGCAATACTTTCGGATACTGTATGGTAGGATGACTACTGTGTTAATGTGTTCCAAAGCTTATGTAAGCAAGATGCTATCCTACAAAGCGATCTTTGGAGGAACACACCTATATGAGCCTGACTGTTGGTCACAGTCTATGAGATTGGGGTGATCTCTAGTAAACTTATGAATAGGCTAGGAGTGTGACTTATATGCTCCACCCTGAGGGGTCAGCCTTCGGCAGCCTAGTACTAGTAAGACATGTGGGAAACTTCTTTACACCAAACTGACAATTCAAGGCATAGTCCATTGTTTAGTTGTGAAGGAGTGTAGCTGCTTGCTCTAGGTGAAGTTCAACCTTAACGTGCCTTCACTGAAACACTGGTATATCGAAACAGCAATTGGAACAGAGGCCGCAATGGGCCCTCGAGATCTGGTGGGGAATTGTTGAAATATGGAGTGGGCTTTAGGCTCATCTAACAATTTCAAAAAATCTCTAAGGGTCCATGTGGGTTATATGGCACTAGGTGTAGTGGGAAGTTTAGTCCCACCCTGCTAGTGGAGAAGGAGTTGGACCTCTTTATAAGGGATTCTCTTCCACATGCTATTGGAGCTTGAGAATAGAAGAGGCCCTCGCGCACTCCTCCTCTGCCGCTCGCCTCGCCACGCCACGCCTCGTCACGACGTGCCGCGGGTTGCGGGAATGAGCCGAGCCGAGCTCACACCTATGCCCTTATTTTTGCCTGTCAGTAACGGAGAGTTTTTGACAGCTGGGCCACGATCTGAGACGTCGAATCGTGGGCTGTCACGGACTCGGACATGGGTCAAGCCCACGTCTCTCCACGCGGTTGCGCCTATATATGTGTGAGGCGTCTCCCAACCAGCCGTCACGTGAAACATATCGCATCTCTGCCTTCATGCCCACTGTCGTTCCTTTGCTGCTGCTGCCGCCGGTGACTCCCCCGTCCACTGCGTACATGGTTGACGGGAGAGCAGGTCTCTGAAACCCCGCCTCTCCGGATCCTGTACGGGAGAGGGGCGATTAGGTTTTTGGGAAGCGACTACGCGACTGCTCGCCTCTGTTCGTCTACTTCCTCTATGTTCACGTCGCCCTCGTCATCACCATGTCCACCGACGCTAAACGTGCCGCCGCTGAGAAGATCGAAGCCGACAAGAAGGCCGCCGAGGACGTCAATGCTGCCACCGCTGCCGCCGCAGCTTCCTAGCCTATTGGAGGGTATAACTCGTTTATCTCGCTCCTATTGTTTTCTGTTTTAGCCATGCTAGCGTTATACATAGATCTGTCTGCAATTAGCGTAGTATGTGCTTGCATGATTGAATATCGGTATGTGGTTATTTCTGTCAATGCCATGCTAGTGATTTATTCTTGGATTAAATTAATCGGAAAATTGCCTATTTATTCAACACCGGCCACACAGGAGTGGCGACAGCTGTGGAGCCGAGGCAGGAGACGTTGCCAAAGTGGTTAGGGGGTTAGGGTTGTGCGTGTCATGGAAGACGTTGGAAACCCAAGCCAAAGGTGAAGAGAATACAGGTGGTGGACCGCGAGGCAGGGAAGTTGTCGACACGCAGGGGATACCTTGGCAGAGGGTTTAGGGTGAGGATAAAGGTGAGAAAGAAGACAGGTGTCCGGAGGTTGAAGAAGTAGAGCGAGCTGTTGGATCTAAATCCGGTGGTTCAGCAAAATCAACTGCCCCTATGAAAATAATCAGGCGTTTGCGTTCTAGGCAGTCCCTTACTTTTAGGACATAATGCAAGAATTAGTCTTAGCAGTATGTATATAACAGCAGGGCCAGTTATAGCAGTAATATTTCAGTAGTTTGAACTTCAGATAGATAGTTCCATGCTGTAATAACGGAGATCCAAGTGATAACGGAGATGATAACCACCATCACAAAGAGTTGGTAAGGCAATCACATTGGAGGTAGGTCTCTTAACTGTTTTTATCATTTTTAGAAGCAGGGAAGTGAACTCACCCTGGAAATAGATTCTTCTGAAGGAGTGCCAAGTAGATCAGTCATGAGATCCAATTGATGTACCACGTTTTTGCCAGGAAAGAGCGGCCTCCCTGTAAGCATTTCGGCAAATATACATCCTATGCTCCAAATATCAATTGCAGGAGTATACTGTAAAAGGAAATACTAACTTCAGTATAGTGAAACCCGAATTATACAATGTGGTAACATGTGCATTGACTGCCAATAATCAAGTGTACAAGAAAACTCGGATTTATAAACAAACTCGACAACATCAACGAGGATATTGATGCTCACATATGAATTATCACGGATTCACGGTCTCTAATTTGGTTAAGGTCAAATTTTGTCGAGATGAAGTTTTCTCACCTTTGAAAAGAAGGAGCCACATAATTCTGGAGCACGATACCACCTTGTTGCTACATAATCCTGGGACAAATGGCCACGCGAGCATAAAAGTCTAAATTTTGGTTGGCTGCTTACATAATACACATAATCTGTGGTAAGCTTTTATTAGAGTATAAACTACCTACCGTCCAGAATATCGCGGACGGGGTGTCATTGAAGGAAACCCGAGAAAGGCCGAAGTCGCAAATCTTGAGCTTGCAATCGGCATTGGCTAGAATGTTCTTGGGCTTGAGGTCCCGGTGGAAGACATTGGCAGCGTGCATGTACTTCATCCCGCGAAGCAGCTGGTAGAAAAAGAACTGAAAGTGCTCCGGGCTGAGGTCGTCGTTGGCCTTGATGACCTGGTGGAGGTCGGACTCCATGAGCTCGAAGATAATGTAGATGTCACGAAACTCGCGGCGCGACGGCGGGAGCATGATATGCTTGATCTCGACGATGTCTGGGTGGCGCAGAAGGCGGAGAAGCTTGATCTCGCGGAGAATGCGGGTGGCGTCGGCGACATGCTCGAAGACGTCGTCGATCTTTTTGATGGCGACGCGCTCGCCGGTGTGGGTGTCGACGGCAGCCGCCACGACGCCGTAGCTGCCTTTGCCGACCACTTCGCCGATCTCGTACCGGGTCGCCTCGCCGTACTCCGTGAAGAACCCCGCCTTATCCGAGCCCTGGAAGCGTATGAGTCAATCCCGCAATCGGATACGCATCAGGCGAGGCACAAAATGTCAACTAGGGTGGTTCACATGCGCGCCTTTTTAGCCATGGCGCCCGCCGCGCCAGTCGCCCCGTGCTCCGGAGTGATGTACTGCTACCCCGCGCCGTCTCCCTTCGCCCCGGATCCACTCCTCCGATCCGCTGCGGCGCCCTCGTGCGCGCGGTGTGTCG